ATGGGGTTCTCTTTGTACTCCTCTAGAGGACTATTGGTATTTGGTGGGGATATGTTATTTTGGTTTTTCATGTTATTATTCTTTCTCTATGATTCTGACATGTGAATTTCTTTTGTAGTTTCTGATTCTTGTGTGAGACTCAGGCCTTCAAGTTTAGGTCTGCTTCTTTTTGTGAACTTTATGTGTCTTTGTGGTTTACTTTTTGGGCATGAAAAGCTGGTTCGTCTAAGCTTCCAGTTCTCTCTTTTGATTTTATGTTGGAGTGGCCGGGTTGATTTTGTCTTCAGGAGTTCCCAAAGAGGCCCAATTCCAGGGAGGGTCAAATGTTTTCAGGCTTTATCCTAAGGTCTGGATCCCTCCAGGAACGATTTTGGCCTCAGGAATTTGGGGTTTTGACTGGCCTAGGAGCCTGGCCCAGGAAAGATGCTGGTCTAGGGCCGTTGGTGGCCATGACACCAAGAGATGCAAAGGCAGATGGGGCGGGAAGAGGCCCCAGGGCCTCCTGGGGACTGCACTGAGGAGCTGGGTTGGTCTGGATGCAAAGGATCAGGAAGAGGAAAGGTCAACTCCAGCTTCCCAGAAAGAGGCTGGCGGGTGGTGCAGGCCCAGCGAAGCAGAGGGAGTTAAGAGTGGGGCCAGGCCCAGAAGCAGTGCTCCTGGGGCCCAGAGAAGGCACTATGTTGGTCTGAATGAAAAGGATCAGGAAGCCTTATTGGTTCCCCAGGTGTCTGGGGGCCCCAAGACAAGGAATGGGGCAGGGCCCAAGCTAAGAGGAGAGAAGGGAGGGGGAGATGGGAGGGTGAATGAGGTTGGGGGAGTCAAGGCAGGGAGGGTGCAATGGACTTACCCCAGAGTGAGGCCTGCAGGTAGGAGAGAGGCCTGAGGCGGGTCCTGCAGGCCCAGGGAAGCAGAGGGCTTTTTAAAATATTTTATTTATTATTTTTATTTTATGTGTCTGTGTGTATTGCCTGCATGTAGGCAAGTGCACCCGTGTCGTGCAATGCCTGCAGAGGGCAGAAGAGGCTGTCAGATCCCCTAGAACTGGGGTTACGGACAATTGTTAGCTGCCATGTGGGTGCTGGGATTCGAACCCGGGTCTTCTGCAAAAATAGTGTTCTTAACGGCTGAGCCATCTCTCCAACCCCTCTGTCAGCAATCCCTGGGTTGAAGTATACTCTATCAGTTATCAGAGTAGCTGTACCAGAATGGTTTGGGCTTTCAGCTTGATTGACTTCCATCCTTTCACTCTCAGTCTGAGTGTGTCAGTCTGGTGTGTTTCTAGGAGACAACAGATAGGTATCTTTGAATGCAACTGGCTGGTCTGCATTTTGGGATGGAAGGAGGGTGGGGATATTTCATCTTGCACTTTCAGTCCATCATCAAGGGAAGCCAGAGCCTGCATCTTTTAATTGGGAGAGTTGAAACCATTTACATATAGGGTTATTACTGAAAAATGTTTGATACCACCTTTTTTAGATACCCAAAGTGAGTGAAATGATATAGTATTTGTCTCTGTGCCTGACTTATCTTACTTAACATAATGTCTTCCAGATTCATTTATGCTGTTGCAAGTGTCAGGATTTCCTTCTTTTAAAAGACTTGATAGTATTTCACTTCATATATGCAGCATATTTTCTTTCTCTGCTCATCCACTGATGAACATTTAAATTGATTCTATACTTTTCTTCTGATAATAGTGCTATAAATTCAGATATTTTATATGATGATTTCATCTTTTGAATATGTGTGTATATGTGTATATAATATACATTCAATAATAGGATTGTTGGAACATGTTTTTCATAAGGTCCATGCTGACTTACATTCCCTCTAGCAGTTTATGAGAATTTCCTTTCTCTGAAGCCTCACAAGCATTATTTAACCTTTTTTGCTTGTTTCATCTTTTTGATGCTGGCTGTTCTAGCTCAGCTTCATTATGGTTTTTATTTGAATTTCCCTGATAGTGATTAATTGGATTATTTGTAGTAGGGGTGCTATTGAGGCATTCGAGTTTCTTATGTATGCTGGAAATTAACCCTATGCCAGAGTCTGTTCACTCTGATGACTACTTTGCTATGCAGAAACTTCATACAATCCTACTTGTCTGTTTTAGTCTTTGTCACTGACATTTGAACTTCCTTGCACAGATCAGTATCATGATGTATCCCCCATGCTTTCTCCTAGTAATTTCATATTTTGAAGTGATTGCTATTTTTCTTAATGAGCTATTTCCTGGTACCATTTAGAAAACCTGCTAGTAGTAGTTTATCTTGAAGCTACACTTTCTAATGTGTTTCTTGTAAGAACTAAATTTTGGCTGGGTGTGGTGGCACACACGTCTTTAATCTCAGCACTCAGGAGGCAGAGGCAGGAGGATCTCTGAGATCAAGGCCAGTCTGATTTACACAGTGAGTTTTGGGCCAGCTGGGGCTAAAGGACACCCTGTCTCAATAAATAAATAACTATTACTAAATCAAAATAACATTTCTGTTACTATGCAATTTTTGTAATAAATTGTAATAAATATTTTCCCAAATTCTTCTGTTTGGGACAGGGAAGTAGTTACACATTTCACTTCCTACAGATGTATTTATTGACTCTTTTTAAAACTCTTCCTACAGAATGTTCAAGATCTTTCTGTAGTAGCATCCAGTGCTTTTGCAGCCAGTGGGAATGCGATTAGTCCACGTCTCCTCAAACATTTTTCCATACTGGTATTGCCTCATCCTCCACAAAGTGTCTTATGTACTATTTTTCAGGTAATACGTCTAGCCTGTCCTTCCTCCCCCTTCTCTCCCTGTACTGGAGATAGAACCCAGGGCCTCACAAATGCTAGGCACATTTAGATGACTCACATCTAGCTCATTTGCTTTTTTTTTTTAAAGAATATAACATAAGGATAAATATAAGAACTTAAAACTTTTTTTAAAAAATTTTCTTGTGATGGATTTTATTCCCCCATATTTTCTGTCCTATTATTATTACTTTCTCAATATTGAAATTGCAATTTAGTATGCATAAGAAACACATGTGATATGTGTTTAAAATAAAAACCTCAGGGCTGGAGAGAAGGCACAGTGGTTAAGAGCACTGGCTGCTCTTGCAGAGGACCCGGGTTCAGTTCCCAGCACCTACATTGCGTTAACAACTGTATGTAACTCCAGTTCCAGGGAAGCCAATGCCCTCTTCTGGCCTCTGTGGGCATTACATGAAATATATGTACTCACATGCATACAGGCAAAACACTCATACACATAAAATAAAAAAAAATAAATTTAAATACAAATAACAGGACTTTGTACTAAATCCATCACCATGTTTTAAGGAGATTTTGATTAGTAATATTTTTAATGATTACATTACCCCTCCATTTTGATACACAAGGTTGCTTCTTAGTAGGTATTAGCCAGAAAGTCAACATTTAAATTTTTTAACTAAATTATAAAACTTCTTTTTGAAGGCTCATTTGGGAATGTTTTTCTCCATCCATAATTTCATAGCTGATGTTCAGAAATGTAGAGATCAGATTGTGTCTTGATCCCTGGCTTTATACTATCAAGTACGTAAGAGTATGTTACCAACTCCAACAAAATGCCACTATATGTTTAATCCTCGAGACGTGTTTAAGGTTTGTTTCAAAATTACTTCTCTAGCTTATTTTTAACATTTAAATTGAGATGTACTTTTGCTGCATTCTCTCTGCCTCCCTCCTCCCCCCTCCCTTCCTCTGTTGGTGCTGTGAACATTAAATTGTTAGAAGGTGTAAAAAGTAAAATTCACATTAGCCGCTTGCACTATGAGTGAATTGAAAAGAATTGTTCAAATAATGTGAAGCATAGAACTAAGTGATGGAGCCTCGAAGTCTGATGGAATATAGGCTAGAATCCCCAGTGGCGGGGGTGGGGAGAGTTGTGACAAGGTTATAGTGGATACTTTGGTTTTGCTTCATTTTGGAAATTTTTCTGTGACTATGAGGAAGTGGAGGTATGCATGCATTTCATAAACATGTTTACATTTTCAAGGATTTTTGTTAACAGTGTTGGCTCAGTCTTCATCCTTGATTAAATAATTTTCAAAATTGCAATGCTAAGCAAAACCATTCTTAAATATATCTTTCTCTTCTTGCTGTAGAACTTTGGCCCTAATTTATACAAAGGCTCTTAATCCAAACTTAGAACATTAAACACACCACCATTAAGAAGGGCCTCACAACCAAGCATGGTGGTACACGTTTTGATCCCTGTACTCTGGAGGTTGAGGCAGGTGGATCTCTGTGAGTTCCAGGCCAGCCAGGGCTACAGGGAGACGCTATCTCGATTGAATGATGAATGAATGATGATTGATGGATGGATGGATGGATGGATGGATGGATGGATGGATGAATGGATGATGGATGGGGATGGATGGATGCATGGATGGATGGATGGATGCATGGATGGATGGATGGATGCATGGATAGATGGATGGTAGATAAATAGCAAAAAGTGCCTAACGGTCTCCTGCGCTGGAAACAGAGGCCAGACTGTGTGGTTTCTCATCCAAGCAAGCCGCTCTTAGATAGAGACGGGAAGCTGACAAATCCTCCCACTGGGCATCATTCTGTGCCAGTTTTCCTTGGCTTCAGCTTGCCCATCCTATCTAAATTTAGATTTTCACTTACAAAAATTGATGACTGTTACCTTGGATAATTGCTTCTATTTTTATAGAATGAAAACCTGCAAAACTTGAGCCTTTATTTCACACACTGTCCTGCTAACATTTGAAAAATGGTTTTTTTTAATCCTCCATAGCTTCTCCTAGGATTGATGCAAGCTGACAAGACGATCATCAACTGTAGAGAGTCAGTTGCTCTTCTCTTGGTTCATGAAGCCATCAGAGTGTTTCACAATCGCTTAATTGAGTCCACTGAGAAAAGCCTTTTTTATCAAGTGCTTTCAAAGGAACTCCAGAACTATTTTCAGGTACAGTCTTAAAATATTTCAAATGTAGTCTTGAACAGAAATATCAATTTATAAAAGTCCTCAAATATCTCTGTAATAATAATGAAGACAACTTTATCTTATTAACTGTTACTTTTCACCTGCAAATCTATTGCAACATGATTGAGATGATCCTGTCTTGATCCTTTGTTCATCCTTCCGGCCTCTCAGGAACCTCAAACCTGAAAACCTGCAAAGCCCAAGACTCCTCATCTTTCTCCATCCCTTTGACCTTTAGTTTCCTCGCTGTCTTTTAATGCAGGTCACAAAGAAGTGGATTTGAATAAACTGATTCTCCTAAGGCTTGTGGCTCAGTTGGCAGTGAGTTGGCTCAGTCTCCTGCATCTTCCTTAGAGGCCTGAGGAGAATGTTCTCCTCCAAGTGTAACTCTGCTGTTTTCTCCCCCCGGGGCAGTGTTACCTCCTCATAGCACTGAAGAAGTGTAGCACATTTAAAGACAAAAACCGTACTTGATAAGAGTAAAGCATAGTTCTAAAATACAGACTTCATCTATGGCAATCTAGCTACACAAACATGCACATAAACAGCATAGAACATACATACATAGATGTAAATCTTTGTATGTGAATCTATAAATGTATATATGTGTCTTTTTATATAATCTTAAATTCATCAAGATTTTTAAAAATTCTTTATAGACATTCCCAACAGTATATTCTCTTCATTCAAATTTTCTGCTCTTCAGCCCAGACTCAACCTGATGTCATTACTCACACTAACCCCTATGACTTCTATCTTTCAATCTTTTCAAAAGTCCAATAAACTAATATTGCCATTTAGGACCAAACATGATTCCCTCTTCATCTACTGCTCCGCCTCACCTGTCTGGAATCATCTTAAGGCTTTTCCGGGCGTGCAAGTCTTCTTTTGCCTCCCCAGGGCTGCTGTTGAGTCGTGCCTCAGAGTTACCACTGCCGTCATCTTCCTTACTTGGGCACTAGCGTCTCTAGTGTGCTGTTCTCTTGTTCTTAGTTTTCTTTCCTGACAGCCTGAGGCTTTGAATATAAAGATCATAAACTCAGCATCTGCCCAAGTTCAAAGCCCAGGTCCTCCCTTCGTGAACTGTATACCTTGGTCTTGGTTCCCTCACCTCTAAAGAAAGAGCAGTGTAGCCAGAGAGATGGCTCAGCGGTCAGGAGCACTGGCTGCTCTCACAGAGGACCTGGGTTCAAATCCCAGCACCCACATGGCAGCTGACAACCGACCCTAACTCCAGTACCAGGGGATCCGATGCCCTCTTCTGACCTCCACAGGCATTGCATGACATGAGCATACCTACCTACTACATACAGGCAATACACTCATACACATAAAATAAAAATAATAAATTTTTAAAAATAAAATAAGAGTAGCGATTACTTACCTCATAGGACTGTGGTAATAACCGGAAGCACTGATGTAGATAAAATATTTACAACCGTTTCTGATATAAATATAAGCTGTTATATTAATGAAAATACTAAATCTTGTATCCACATTTTAAATACATGCAAGCAGTTTAGTGAAAATAAACTTTAGAGGAAGAGCTTGGTTTGCCTTGTACATCTCTGTCACATGCAGAATGGTAGAAACTATTCCAATGTGTGTTCATCGTGCCCTCTCTACCATCAAGATGCCCTGCCCTACTGTGGGCATGCTAGAAATCAAACATGCCACCCTCTATTCCCACCACAACACAGCATGTTCTCCACTGCCCCTGCCTGTATACCTGCAGGTCCTCTCCCAGGGCTTACTCCTGGCCATTGCTCAAGACTGACAGTCATGCAGGTTACACTAAGTGAAATAATAGGGGCACAGAAGACTGTTCCTAGTATGGTCAAAGCCTAAAGAAATCCAACTCAAAAAATCAGAGACTCTGGGGATGAGAGGAATGGAAAGATGGCAGTCAGAGGGTGGAGAGCCTCAGTTAAACAGAAAGAATGGAGTCTCTTAGAACTATTAAACATAATGGGTATTTGAGATGATACATATGTTGGCTTTATTTAGCTCTTATTTTACATTGTATTCATAAGTCATAAAATGACTGTAAATGTTTGCAATTATAATTGTCATTTTGCAATATGGATAAAATTTTGAGTCAGCTCATGCTTTCTAACTTTTGGTAACCTTATCTGACCAATGCCAGCTTCTTTCCAGATGGTGAGTCTTCTTCATTTGTCTTTAAGATGATGGGATTTTCTTAGCACAGAACTTACTGTAATTGTCTTATCTCCTTCCAACCTACAAGTTCCCTGGGAACAGAATCATAGATTTTCATCTCTTTGTAAATCTCTGGAATTCACTCTGCAAGTGTTCAACAAGTATGTCTAGGCTGAATGAATAAAGAGTGAATCAGAGTGGTAGGGGGAGGTTGGCTCGGCAGACAAAACACTTGTCATGTAAGCCTGATGACCTGAGTTTGATCCCCCAAAACCTACATAAAATTGGAAGGACAGAACCAACTCCACAGTTATCCTCTGACCTCTACATGCATGTCACCCCTAAACAATAATAATAAATAATTTTTAAGAGAAGAGATACATACTTTACTAAAATAATAAGCAGAAGAGAGCCTATTGCTTACTGTCCTAGAAGAAGCTCCTAAACTCCATATATGTGCCACCCATCATTCAGTTCTCATATTTTGTCATACTGAGGAATAGATACAGAGGCAATATAAAATGAAGAATCAAATTTATGGGAATCAGGTTTTCCTTAGCAAGGATCAGCCCTGTGGACAGAAAAAGCAGCTGTAATGCCCCAAATTAAAGACCATATTACCATATTAACCAAACTTTACTTAAGAATACAGTGTTGTAAATTACTATGAGAATCATCATATTAATTAGTTGCTTGGCTTTTTCAGAAAATACAACTTTAATAATAGGTAATCGTTGCATCAGGTACTGTTTCAGGAACTTTACACATCAGTTCTCATTTTAATCTGCATTCCTAACACCTCTATGATATAGGCCCTGATATTATCCTCCTTTGACAAATGATACCAGCAGAGGAGCATTACACAGGGTTACATGGCTGGTTAAGGCATGGCATCATTATTCATCAGATGTCTGATGTCATACAGTCTTTTAGCCATCAGGCTGTGTCACCCCCTCAACCTTCATTTGCTGAGCAAATGCCTTCTGAATGCCTATCAGGATTTCTGATGCCAGATATCAAGTGAGGTAAGTCCTACAAAGGACCAGTGTGGCACTGCCTGCCGTTGCCTTTAACCCAGCAGGTGCCAGACATCTGACAAGATCTTTGATAACCGGTGTATACACACTGAAGTGGAGCAACGAAGTGAAGAGTCTTCACTTTACCTGGTTTTTGAGGAGAAGGAAAAGGTCAGGCCATCAAAGAGGAGATAGCTCTTGACTTTGGTATGAAGGTTAAGCAAAAGATTGCAGAGTGGACCGGGAAAGCAAGTGTGGAGACTCACAGGACTGATGTTCCACCACAGCATTCTTAGCCGACAGCCTAGAGACCCTCTAGAGTTCTGAGACGTAACTGTAACTGTGCTTCAGTTTACTTGGCTTGCTTTGTACCCCTTGTATTTTATTATAAGCATTTTAAACATTGCCCACAGGCTCCATGGCCAGAAGTCCTCCTCTTGCTCCCCCTACACACACACACACACACACACACACACACACAACTAGGTTAAGAACCTGAATCCTAGGATCTACTCTTCCAGAAGCTTCTGTGACAAGTAGATTAGACCAAGTAACAGATAGGATCGCATTGTAATGACAATGTTATTTGAATATCATTGAATGGTAATTGAATTCTTCTCTTCCAATAGATTCATTGGAGTCATGAAAACCTGATGAATGATCCAACGTTATTTGTGGACTTTCTGGATTTAAATAAGCCTCACAGAAAAAAGCTCTATCAGAACACCAATGACTATGATAAGCTTCTCAGTATACTTGAGGAATTCCAAATGAAGTTGAGGTCAACATCTCTGGAGGTAAAGACACACATTATATAGAAAGCTGAGGAGTGCCAGACATGTATATGTTTATTTATGTGCACACAAATGCATACATAGCAAACATTTTAAAGTGTGTGTGTGTGTGTGTGTGTGTGTGTGTGTGTGTGTGTGTCTGTATGCATAAGATGAGGAGGAGCGTTTCCCCAGATTTCAAAATAGACCACTAGAGATACAGTTGTTTGTATTTTTCTCCTTACCTTGTCTCAATGGTATGTAATCTTAAAACAAGGTATGGTAGGGTGTGTGGGGTGTGACTTTAATCCCAACTCTTGGGAGGCAGAGACAGGCAGATCTCTGTGAGTTCAAGACCAGCCTGGTCTACATAGCAAGTTCCAGGCCAGCCAGAACTATATAGTGAGACCCTGGAGAGGGAGGCAGGGAGAGCCAGAGAGGAAGGAAGAGGGACAGAGAGAGAACACAACTGAGGTCATAGGAAGTTGAATGACAACAGTTAATGAAATTAAGGAATGCAGGAGAGGTGCTAGAAAGATGAGTCACACTTGCCATTCTTCCAGAGGACCAGGGTTCAAGTCCTAGCACCCATAAGGCAGCTAACAACCATCTGTTAACATCACTGTACACACACGGGGCACTTACATATATGTAGGCAAAACACTCATACACATAGAATAAAAAGAAATGCAAGAGAATAGAACAGCAGGGTCCAGAGCGCACACAGTGTCCTGGCTGCTTTGATCCCTCCCATTGCTGTTCCTGTCAGAGATGTGCTGAAACAAAGACTCCAGTGAATTTGTGAATACCATGAATAATTTGCTAAGTCACTTCCTCCCACCTGCCAATACAGGGCAGTAGAAGAGCAAATCAATACCATTAATCCACTCTTCAGCCTGCTCCCTCAACCCTGTGACTGTCCACCTCAGTTCACCGGAATGTTAGCAGAGGACAGATCTCACTGTGAGCAGCTTGGTTTTCCCTGAATGCTGTCATCCATGAGCGACTAGAGTCGTTCCCCTTCCTGTGTCCTTGTGTGTAGACCCATAGTGCACACTTGGTTTTTCGCTCCTGTAATTAGCTTATCTGCTGCATTTCTCCCACTAGATGTCTCATTCCATTGTGTTCTTCAAGGAGGCTGTGGAACACATTACCAGAGCAACAAGGGTTCTTCGACAGCCAGGGACTCACATGTTGCTGGTAGGAATTTACATTTTTCAAGGGTTTTTAAAGTTTTCAGAATAGAAATTCAGGAGCTCCAGTAAAATGTACATAGAGAAGCTTTATTCATCTATGCCTTTTGAAAAAAAATCACAAGGGGTTGGAGAGATGGCTCAGCAATTAAGAGCACTGACTGCTCTTGCAGAGGACCTGGGCTCTATTCCCAACACCCACATGGCAGCTATGAACCATCCTTAACTCCAGTTCCAGGGGAATCCGAAGCCCTCTTCTGACCTCCACAGCATTGCACAACATGGGTACACTCACATACATGCAGAACTGGATCTTTGTCTTTACTGGTTTGCAGAAGAAATTTACTAGCATATGAATGTTTCTTGTTTGGGGAAGGCACTTGATATGACTAAAACAGATGGATTTGGCACCACCTCTAAGGTGTCCTAGCATCAACAGAGTGTCTGAACAGGTGGGTCCCAGCTTCAAAAATACACTAGCATGGGGTTGGAGAAATGGCTCAGCAGTTAAGATCATCACTCTTTTAGAGGACCTAGGTTTAAGTCCCAGCACCCACATGATGGCTAGCAACCATCTGTAACTCCAGTTCTAGGGATCTGACACCCTCTTCTGACCTTTGCAGGCCCTGCACAACACGGGTGCACTTACACACATGCAGGCAGTACACTCATATGCATAAAAAAAAAAAGTTGTTCTCTGACCTCCACACGATCCCATATGACAAACACACATACAATAAATAAAAAATGTAATAAAGATTAAAATTTTTTAAAAAAATCAATACTAGATAGTCCCAGCATCTATCTGGCATGGAAGTCAGTTGTCAGCACTGAAAGAAGCACATTTTTAAAAAATACACTAGCTTGAACATTGATTTAGAAATATGAACCATTGTGTAAACCTTCTCTCTAATGAGAATTAAATAGGAGCTAAATTACTGAAAAAAACAAATGTTTGTGTTACGGGAATTTAGCATGCTGAGACAAGGCCTGGAGGTGGAGTGAAGAATCATGGTTTATTCCTGCTGGTACGGACTCAGGGGAATCATCTCCAAAGCCTGAGCCCCCATCCACAGTTTCTTACATTTATAGGCTATTCAGGGTCATTTCAGACCTCTCCAGTTTTGGGTGGGTTAAAATCTCTAGTCTGTGTGACCAAGGGTCATGCACGGGGGGTGGGGTGGGGGAGCCTCTAGCCTACATGACTGAGGGTCACGTGCTGGAGTCACTAGCCTATATGACTGGGGCTGTGTGTGGGAGTCTCTAGCAGTAAGGCCAAAATGACCCTTCCACAGTTTCCAAATTGTGCTCTTGCAGTTTTTATTTCTCCACTGGCTCTGGTTTTCTTACCTCATTTGGAATAGAGAAAAGGCTGTGGAAAGCTAAATAAAATCCACAATACTGGGCCAGCAAGATGGCTCAGCGGATAGAAGTGCTTGCTGCCAAGCCTGACAACCTGAGTTCAATCCATTGAAACCCACATGGTGGAAAAAAAGAACCAATTCCTACAAGTTGTCCTCTGACTTCTACTCAGGCTGTGGCTTGCACACACATACACACACAATAAGTAAATAAATGTCATTTAATAACTTTTAAAATCCACAATATTTAGCAAATTATATAAACGTATTTATCACTATTTATATTTCATTTATAATAATGCCCCATATACCTAAAGCAATACTTAGAAGGAAACCTATAGCTCTAAGTACCTATACTTAAAAAAAGACTTCAAATTAATAACCTAAACTTCTACCTCAAAAAACTGCAAAAAATGAAAGATTCTCAAACCCACAGCAAGCAAAATGATGGAAATAATAAGGACAACAGGAAAATAGTCAATGATTTCAGTGAACCTGAGCTAAATTAAGAAAACAGAAGAGATGCACACTATTAAAATCAGTAATTAGAGGTTACCAATATCAGTACTGTCATTACAGAAATAGGATCATAAGGAACCGGTACAGACAACTGTGTAAATGAAATTGACCCCTGCCTAGACAGACAGTGCCTTAGTTTCTTTTCCTATTGTTGTGATAAAATTCTCTGAGAAAAGCAACTTCAGGGAGAAAGTGTTTATCTTGGCTCACAGTTCAAGGTACATTCCGTCATGGTGGGGAAGTCGGGGCAGCAGGAGCTTAAAGCAGCTGGTCATTGTCATACCCAGAAGCAGACAAAGAGCAGAGAATGCATGCTGCTCCTCGGTTCCCTTTATTTATACAGTCTGGGATCCCAGTCACGGAATGGTCTGTCCACAATAAAAATGGATCTGCACTCATCAGTAAATGTAATCAAGACAATAACCCACAAGCATGTCCGGAGGAATATCACCCATGTAACTCTAGATCCTGTCAAGTTGACAATTAACACTAATCATCACAGACACTAACTGCTGAAACTGAAGAATTAGAAGGTCTTAGTGACTCTGTAACAAATAAAGAGATTGAATTAGAAATTCTAAAACTTCCCACAAGGAAAACCTCAGAATCAAATGGCTTCACTGGAGATGTCTACCAAACATTTAAGAATAATTTACACCAACCATTCCAGATTAATTTTGCTCATGATTGTGGCTTCAGAAGGGCTCACACAGAGTGCTACCAATATCCTGTCCTGGTTAAGGACCCTTGGCTGTGTCACAATATGGCAGAGAAGCAGCAGAAAAGGAAATGGCCGTGGACAGAAGAGTCATGTGTGTACAGGTGAAAGGAAGAGGTTTAGGGAAGGACCGGTTCTCTAACACCTGTTTTGCTGAACTTCAGGAAAGGAACTTTCTCTTAAAGACCACATCCTCTCCTGTAGTTACACCACTTAAAAGTTCCAGCACCTTTCAGCACCACACTGTGGACCAAGCTCTCAGCAACTAAACTTCTAAGAGACCCTCCACACCCAAGCCAGAGCTGACATCATAATAAAATTTAGTGGTTAAGAGCCTTGGCTGCTCTTGAAGAGGACCCAAGTTCAGTTCCCAGCACCCATACGGCAGATAACAACAGTTAGTAACTACAGGGGATCCGATGCTCTCCTTTGGCCTCCATGGGCATTGCGAAACACGGGTGCACTTACAGACATGCAGGCAAAACATTCATATACATTAAGGAATAAAATAATGCCAGGCGTGGTGGCGCACACCTTTAATCCCGGCACTCGGGAGGCAGAGGCAGGCGGATCTCTGTGAGTTCAAGGGCAGCCTGGTCTACATAGTGAGTTCCAGGACAGCTGGGGCTACAGGGAGACCCAGTCTCAAAAAGACAAAAAAAAAAAAAAAAGAATAAAATAACAAAGTGTTTTAAAAATAAAATTTGAAAAAAAAAAAAAAACTACAGACCTATATCTCTTAGGAGTATAGTTATTAAAAACTCTGAACACACCCTCCTGGAACAGGGACCTCTGGCTGACTAGATTTACCAGAAGGGCAGACAGGGGGAATGGATGAGGGTGCTGACAACACAGTGGACAGTGACAGAGATGGCAGAGTATGGAGCCTCTAGTGGGAGAGGAAATCTGTCTATCTGACGAGTTTGTATTCATGCTCAGATGCCGAGGAGCTCAGAATGTGGGCGACTGTGACCAGTGATAGTCATGCATATAGAGATTAGAAATGCATGTGAAAACATCTCAATGTCAATTGCTTTGGAATGAATTCTTCTGTATGAAAAAAAAAAAAGGTGTGCTGTAAAGTATTCCTTGAGAAATGTTTATAATTCTATGAGAATGTAAATAGTTTCACAGTAATTGTTTTCCAGTTAGAATATTCTAACTTAATTGCAGCACAGTCTCTTTAATTTCTTGTTCATTAATTTTTAACTAACTTCATAAAAGAATAAGAATAAAAAAAATATGGTTTATTTTAGAAAAAGTTACCAAAAAAAAAACTCTGAACACAACAGCAAACCAAAACTAGCAACATATAATAAGTATTTTATACCATGCATGTGAGATTTACCCCAGGAATGCATGTTTGGTTTAAATCCAAAAATCCATGAATGTAATATATTGTATTAATAAAATTGAGAGCAAAAATCTCAAGATGCAAAAAATATGGATTTTTTTAAAAATTCAATATTTATGATTTTTTTTTAACTTGCCTCAAAAATGAATAGAAGGGAACTTTGTCAACCTAGTAAAATGTATCTGTGAAAATCTTAAAATTAATGTTGGGATACAGAGAGTCAGTTTTCTTCCAGTGACCCCTGGCAGGTAGACCACACTCCAGAGGGTGGCCATAAATCCAAGAGTATCTGAGCAACACAAATTGGATTCCATGGGTTTAAAAAAGAAAGGACATGAAGCGGGGTGGGTAGGAGGCGGGGGTGATTCTGGGAGGACTTGAGGTGAATATTATCAAAATGAAGTGTATGAAATTTTCAAAGAACTGGTAAAAATATTATTTTTAGAAACTCTTACAGCTAACCCCCTGCTTAATAGTGAAAGACTACATATTCTGCACCTAACATTGAGAACAAAGCAAGGGTGTCCCATCTCCCAACTTCTGTTCAATGTTGTAATAAGGATTCTAGTCAGAGAGTAGGCAATAAATGGGGGAGAGGTGCTCAGAGTGGAAAAAAAAGGTGTAAAATTCACAATTCTATGATAGTCAAACAATATTAAAAATAAAGATACCTCACAAAAGTATGTGAAAAGATTCTCGGTGTCAGGTCTCACTTAGGGAACCAACATGTGATACCAGTACACGAGGATTAAAGTAACCAGTGCCCAAAGAACAGATGATAGCACTGCTGGCATGGGACAGACCAACAGAAACACTGCTCCCTGGTGATGGGAACAGACAATGACAGTCATTGTAGCAGTTTCTCATACACCTAAACATAGTCTGGGCATATGATCCAGCAAGCATACCCCATATTTACTGAACTGGTTTGAAAATTTACACCCACACAAAATCCTGCACATGAATGACTAAAGCAGCCTTATTCATAATGGCCAAAAACTGAAAGTCACCAAAACAGACTTCAACGAGCACATAAAATAAGTAAATGGTAATCTCTACAATGAAATATTACTCAGCTTTAAAAAAAAATTGAGGATTGGGGAGATGGTTGGGTCAATAGAGTGCTTGCAATCTAAGTATGAGACCCTAAGTTTGATCCCCAGCACCCATGTAAAAGGCTGAACATGGCGGCATACACTTGTGATCCCAGTGCTGGGGAGGTACAGAAAAGAGGATCCCTGGGCCTTGCTGGCTAGCCAGCCTATCCTCATCAGCAAGCCTCATGTCCCCAGTAAAAGACCCTGTCTCCAAAAACAAGGTGGACAGCTCCTGAGGAAAAGCATGTGAGCTTGGCCTCCGGCCTCTGCAAACATGTACCCACACATTCACCTGTACCTGCACATTCCTGTGCAGCCACAACACATGCACGCACATCCATTCTTACCGATATGAGCTGGTAAGCTGGAAAGACCTGGGTGAAATATAAAGGCATACTGCTAAGAGAAATTAAGGTAAATCTGGAAAAATATATACTTACATGACTCTAATTATGGCATTCTGAAAAAAGTACAAAACTATGGGACTAGGTAAACTATAGTTTGAAGAAAATATTTTCAATTCATATATCTTATAAAAAGGTTAGTATCCAAAATATATAAACTCACAAAATTCAGCAAAATAAAAATAACAGCACAATTTTTAAATGGACAAATCACCTGAATACATATTTAGAGACACTAAAATTCATAAAAAATAGCCAAGTATATGAAAATTGCCCAACATCATTAAACAGAGATGAAAAACAAGCCCTCAATGAGATATAGCCTGATACCTGTTAGAAAGGCTGTTATACAAAGAAAATCAATCCCCACCTGGGAAAGCAGAGGCAGGCGGACCTCTGTGAGATTGAGGCCAGCCTGGCCCATTAGTGACTTCCAGGTGAGCTGGTGTCCCAGCCTCCGGGACTTTCAACGGGGTACCTGGAGTGAGGACTGGGGATTGAATGGGGCAAGAGACACAGAGAATGGAGACAAGACAGTGGTCTGATCAAGTCTTGTTTATTGAACCTCTGCACAAAGCCTTTATAGGGAAGCAGAGGGCGGAAGAAGCTGGGCGGGTAAGTTCCGCTGTTTACCGGACGTTCGGCAGCCAGACCACGAGGCAGGATGTTTTTACAGGATGAGGAAATTTACAAGGTTGAGGCAGAAAAACATGTTTTTCACAAAGTCATCGGCTTCTCTTAAAAGGAAGTCAGAGGCTGAAGCTGTAAACAGCTTGCTTTACAGATAATAGTTACTATTTCTGGGTAGGGGGCCCACAGCTCCCTGCAGGCTGGGACTAAGGAGACCCTATTAAAAAAAAAAGTTTTTGTAAAGAAAAGCAAACTAAACCACAGCCAAATGAAATAAGAGCTGTTGAGGATATGTAGAAATGGAAATAAGTGTAATCATTGTATGCTGTTGGTTGAAATGTAGGTTGGTATATTGTTTGTGGAAAACAGTACAGAAGTTCCTAAATAAAAATTGAGCTCCGGGAAGCCCCTGAAATCTGTCTTGTGTATACATACCGCAATCTAGTGTGTGGACTATATTTTACAATCATGCCTGGTATACTAGAAATGCACTGAAACAGTTTGTAGATACTCTTGCTACAAAAAGAAGGAAGGAGGGTGGGAACCATGTGACATGTTGGGTATGTTAATTTGCCTGACTCTAGTAATCACATCAGTATATGTGCTGTACATGGTAAACTTAGCAAAAGAAGGAATTGAATTTTAATTTTAATGAATTTGGACCATTATAGAGATTCACCTTTGGGGGGGGGGGACTGAAACTAGTAGGACTACTCATGGTTGTAAGAGATTGGTCAGAAAGAGAGAAGGTCCAGCACAGGGTTTGAATACGGTGAAAATTCTGTTTGATGCCTATACCCATGAACACATTACACTATATATTTGTCAAAACCCATACAACTCCACAGCCAAAGACTGAGCCTTAGTGTTTGCCATTTTTTTCTTTTTGAAGCAGAGTCTCATGTATCCCAGACTAACCTTGAACTCTCTGTATATCCTAAATTGACCTTGAATTTCTGATCCTCCTGCCTCTACCTCCTGTACACTGGGAATACAAGGGTGTGCCACGGAGCCCTGTTTTATATGATGCTGGAGATCCACCCAGGGTTTTGTGCATCCCAGATAAGCACTTCACAAACAACTATGTCTTCAGCCCAGTGTTAGCAAACTTTCCCATAATTGCCAAAGAGCAATTCCTTATAGCTTAAAATAAATGCCTGTCTAGTTTACTAGAAATGAAGCATCAGATATTGATGGTAACATAGTACTGGTTTGTAAGTCTATTTGAACTGTTTTTGCAGATGACCAGTAAAATAAAATTTCCTACCTTTTAAGAGACTATGAAGACATTAAATGTAGGTGAATGTTTTATAATCTAAAATATGTTGACTTAAGATTGTAGCACCAAGGGAAAAGTACGTATGAAAGGGTTCCCAAAAAATACATAAGAATCACCTCCTTTGATTTTTTTTTTT